TACCTATTTTCCTGGGAATTTATACGGGAACTTATGGGAATTTTATCGAATTTACATGGGAATATTCGGGAATTTAAGGGAATATTAGGGAATTTTCTCTTGACCCCCCCCTTGATTTTGGATTTTTGAAAAAATTGCCGTTTAAAAATGCAATAAAAATCTTACCCCACCCAATACCCCCCCCAAGATTTTTCGAGAATTTTGTAAATTTTACCCCGGTCTACCCCCCCCTAAAATCCAAAACCTTGCTTAACCCTGATACTGTATATATTTATTGTACAGTATATACCGTATATAAACATTAAATAATTAAGTGGTAGTCATATTTTTTTTTGTATGTAAATAATTACAAATTTGTATGATTTTTACAAAAATATAATGTTTGCATTAATTGCAGAGATTTTCAATCAATATGTTATCAATAATTAGTTTAACTATATTTCCAGTAATAATAATAATAATAATAATATATTACTATTATAAACATAAAAACCGTTACCGCGACCGATGTTTGGCCACAATTCCCGGACCCCGACATCGATACCCGTTTATCGGTAATTTAGATCTGTTTCGTTATAATAATAGTAAGTTTATAATAATTTTTGTTTTTGTTTTTTTGAATATTTTATTTCAATAATACTTATATTATAAATAAATTATATTAAAATAATTGTTTCAGAAAACTAATTTTATTTACTGGTAAATAGTATTGAATTTAATTATTGAATTTAATTATTGAATGAATAAAATTATATACTGTATATCTATATATATTATAGGCATTTATAAAATATTAGTATCATTATGCAAACAATACAACAAATATGGTATTTATAAGATATTTTAGGACAAAAACCAGTGGTTGTTATATTCAAACATAACTTAATGAATGTATGTATTGTCATTAATTGTAATATTAATATTATTAACTATTTTCTTAATTATTATTATTATATAACTATTATTATTATATTACTATTATTCTAATTATATAACTATTGTTATTATATAACTATTATTCTTATTATATAACTATTATTATTATATAACTATTATTATATAATCAATTATAGACAATATTATCAAGCAATGTCAACATTAAAAAAGCTTATGTATATGAATTTTTAAGTGATTGGTTAGGCGATAGTATAGTTAAAAGTACCGGTGCTAAATGGAAAGCTAGACGCAAACTGTTGACACCCGGGTTTCATTACAAAATAATCAACAATGATTTTATACCCATAATCAATGAACAGGCAAACATATTTATGGATAAAATACGTAATYAATTAGCAATTGATAGACAATCGTCAATTGATATCCGGAAACCGTTATCTTTGTTAACACTGGATATTATTTGTGGTAATTTTTTTTTTTTTTAAATCAATATTGAAATAAGTAGAAAATTAATTTTATTGTTTTTTTTTTAATTGTTATTTACCCAATAGAAACAGCAATGGGTGTACAATCAGGCGCACAGTTAGGCAAAAATATGGCATACGTTGAGGCCGTTCACCAGTTGGACGAAATAATTATAAAACGTTTATTTTCGCCATGGATTTGGTCGGACCGAGTATTTTATTGGTCACCGATTGGCCGTAAATTTAGACAATATCTCAATACGTTTCACACATTTACCCGCAATGTTATCCAACGAAAAATAGATTTGTTTATCGATAATAATAATAATAATAAGGATTTAAAACAAAAGATAACAACAAGTGATGATAACACCAACGATGACGACAACAATGACGACTATTTTTCAAATAATAATCAGAAGAAGAAGAAGAAAAGTATGGCACTAATGGATCTGTTAATTGATTATCACTTAAATCAAAATTTATTATCAATGGACGACATAAGCGAAGAAGTGAATACAATTATGTTTGGCGGACACGACACTACTTCGGCAAGTCTTGGATGGACTCTCTATTTGATTGGTTTGTATCCGGAAGTACAGCATAAGATTCAAGAAGAGTTGACCACAATTTTCGGATCAGACAACGACCACCAAAACAACATCAATAGAGACATTACATCCGAAGACATTCAACGGATGACTTATTTGGATTGTGTACTGAAAGAGTCGTTACGTATGTATCCGTCGATACTGTATTTTTCTAGATGTCTGGTCGATGATTGTCCGATCGGCGATAATAATGATTATGTCATACCTGCCGGTGTCGATGTCTTTATAATGATTGAACAAATGCATTACGACTCGGATGTCTACACCAAACCCGACCATTTCATACCCGAACGCTTTCAATGCGAGACCAGTCAAATAAATGCCTACAATTATATACCGTTTAGTGCCGGTCCGCGCAATTGTATCGGTAAACGGTTTGCCATAACCGAAGAAATGTTGGTTTTAGCAAAAGTTTGCCTAAATTTTACTATTGAATCAATCGGATGGTTAGATAGCGTACAGAGAACCGCTGAAATGGTTAATCACGCAAAAAGTCCGCTAAATATGAGATTTATTTCTAAAATTTAAGTTTTTTTTTTAATTATTATGTGATAATAATAATAATAATAATAATAATATTGATTACTAGTGTTATTAGATAATAATTATTATTTTTTTAAATGTTAAATAAAATAATAAATCCCAAATAATTTTTTCTTAATATAATAATAAATCAATTGTTTTACTTTAATAACAGGTAATTCTAGTTAAACTTAAACTAAAGTTTTTTTTATTTATTAATAATACTATAATAATAATAATACTAATAATAATATTAATTACTAATGTAAATAGATATTTTTAGAAAAAATTGTTAAACAAAATAATAAAAATTAATTTTTTATATAAATAATATAATAAATAAATTATTTATTTTTTTTAAATCAATTGTTTTAATTTAATAACAGGTAATTCAAGTAAAAAAAATATCAAATTGTATACATATATTGTAATTGTAAGTTATCTATACATACAGTATTGACTCCATTGGTACGGGTGGGGGAAGGTATACCTATGTGGACAGTAATACAAAATCGAGGGTATAACAATGCCCAGCAAACATAGTAATAATAATAAAAATCATAATATGATTTTTTTTAATAAAAAAATCATTTAATTTTTAATTATTTATCATTTTTATTCATTCATTATCAATGAAATTTATGCACAACAAAATTTTTTTTTTTAAAATTAGTATTATTTATTGTAAAAATATAAAACTAGTTGATGGATAATAAAATGTTTTTTTAAATCTATTTTTTACTAACATATTTTTTTAAAAATATGTTTAATGTTAAATTCAAAAAATTAATACTAGTTAAAACACAAATATTTTTTTTTGTTTAAATTTATTTAAACTAAACTTTTAGTTAAACCAGTTATATATATATTAAAAATAATTTAATATATGGTATACAAACTGATTTATAAAATTGTTCAACAAATAAAACATGTTATTAATATTGTATAGAGGTTAGCACAAAAAAAAATTATTATTATTAAATATACATTATAATTAATAATGTATTAATATATACTGTAATTATTTAATATAAAATAATAGGCATTATTAAATTGTTATTAACTAAATAATAATAATAATAATAAATCAATTGAAAATTCAAAAATGTGTTATTAATTGTTGTAATCTAATAACAGGTATTTCCAGTATAGCAGTCAATGGTATACATATTGTATAGCAAACTGTTATACATATTAGTCCATACAGTATGACCATTGATCCGGCATATCTATGGGACAGTAGTAAATCGGGTAACAATGCCAGTACAGTAGTAAAAATCATCAGATGACCCAGATAGACTAACTGTATAGTTGATCGCATTGGTTTCCAATAGGCCGACGATAGAAATTTAAATAATCGGCTACCGGTGCTCTCAATTAAACATATTATAGTATAGCTTAGAATAATTGAATTCAATATTTCATAGACGGCTGCATCCCATGATGTTAGATAGATATCCCATTCACCGGGTGTATGATGTTTACTGAAACCAATTGCCAACATAACTGTCCACATGGTTATAATGATTTTGATCAATTGTAAAGCTAGTCGACTTTTATAGATTATTAAATACCGATTACTATCAATCATATAGCCTAACATCAGGCCAGTCATATAGGGTATACAATATTTCAATGGCATACAATGTAGATAGACATTGATTAATAGTTTGTTACTATTGATATATATATATAGAAATATATTGGTAATAAAAATAATAATAATATGTTAAAAATATTTGAAAAAAATTAAATAAAATTAAATAATTATGTAACCTTATACAGTGAGGCATAATTTTAGTAAAATTTGAACCATAAAATGATATAACTGATCTATGTTGATTATTAATAGATATGGTAAATATTTGCCAAAAACAAACTATATTAGCCAGTACAATTGCTCCTATACCCAGTTTATAATGACTATATATGATATAATATACAGTATATAATAAAACAAAAAATTTAATGTAAAAATATTAATTATAATTATAGTTTTATAATATTTATATATATATGTAATATATGTGTGATATATATATAATAGTAAATAAAAACAATTAAAACAATTAAGTAATAAATATATTAATAATAATAATAATTATTATTATTTTGTTTTTTAAATACTATACTGTAATAGTATTATAATATTAGATTACCGTTTGAAACACATAGCAAATATTGGTGTAAATATTATACAATATATCAGTACATTGTTATACCAGAAAATTGTTGGACACTAATCAACCAAAAAAAAAATAAATAAATTTTAATAAAAAAATAACTAATTAATAAATATTAATAAATATAATTAAGTATTTATTACCAATTGAAGCGGTTGACCAATAAGTGCATAGTTAAACAATTTCATTTGCAACCCGTTTTCAGGACAACTGTCCACCAGTCGGCTATCGTAAAACCGATCGGGTATTAGATATTTAAGATAAACTATATAAATGCAGACAAACAGGTAATACATGGGCAGTAATCGGCCGAATCGTTCAAAATAAAACTGTAGACATTGTTTCAATGGACCCGAATCGGGATGTTTGGACTGGTAGTCAGTGAACCAACTAATACATGACATACCGTTTATTATTAACATTATACCCATTATTAAACGAAAATATGATAACATTAAATAGCTAAGTTTAAACACAAAAAAAATAATTTTAATTATTAAAAATTAACATGATACAAATAAAAATATATTAAATAATTTTTTTCAATAGAAAATTTAATACCCATTTTCTAAAGTGTTAGACATTGTTTGAAAATAATTATCATAATTATATTTATTATAGGATATGATTAAACCCGTGAAATGTGTTAATAGCATATTTAGTTGACAAAAAATACGTATTCCTTGTAAAACACGTGTTTTATTACGTGTTTTTATTATTATTGTTGTTGATGTTGATGATGATGATGATAATGCTAACAATATATTATTATTATTATTATTGCTAATGTTAAACATTTTCATATTTTCTAATAGCGAAAAACATAAAATAATTTTTTGATAGATAATAGTTGTATCATTGGTTTGAAACATCATAGCATGATATATGGTAGCACCTAGTACAATTATTAACCATACTAATAAAAATATTATTAATATATACAGGTCATACATTTGTTGTTTTGTTTTATAATTAATTATATATTTTTTTAAAAAAATATTGTTTATTATAAAATGATAAACAAAATTAAATGATATTTTAATTAAACAAAAAAAAGTTAATATACTAGAAATATTCAATACATGTTATTTATTTTTTAAAAATTAATTAATTAATTAATATTAAACAAATAACGTAATATTATAACAATAAATAAATAAAATGTAAAATAAATATAATTTATAAAAATTACTTTTACATTTTATAAGTTCATATTAATATATTTATTTTCTTAAAAAATATAAATATATAATAAGTTATATATACACTGTATATATTGTATATTATGATAGTTATAATAGTAAAAACAACAATTACTATACAATTATATTTATAATTTTAAAAAATTAAGTATAATTTTTATCATTAGATTATTATTATTATTATTTAATTATATAATTATAGTTTTTTAAAAAATAACATTATAACTTTATATAATATAAATATAATAATCAAAAAGCATATGTTATTATTATTATTATTTGATTACTTAATGGTATGAAAAAAATAATAATTTTATATATTATTAGTCTAACTATATATCGAGGGTTTGTAATGTTTATAAATATTTATTTATTTTTATATACTATCATATATACAGTATATACTGTATATAGTATATAGTTTGTGATTAAAATACAAAAATGTCAATAAATTTAAAAATATTACAATTTGTTTTATTAGTATTAATAATATATACACAAATAACTATTCAAAATGTATTGGCAATTCAAGTAAAGACAACATCGGGTACTGTTAGAGGACATACATTACATTTACGGGACAGTCATATCAATGAATTTCTAAACATACCATACGCTGAACCGCCAATTGGTTCGCTTAGATATGCCAAACCTGTACCTATTAAGACACCTGAAACTGTATATTATATTCAATATATATATACTTTTTTTTAAAAAACTATAATAGTAGTATATATAGGGTTATAGGCGCGATTTAATCCTCCTATAGTTTTAATCCTTTAATCCCCTACTAATCCTCTTATCAGTTAATCCGATCAGTCCGTGCGTAAAAGTTATGAATGAAATAGTACTACTACATGTAGTAGTAGTACTATTGACCATTCATAAATTATGTAAATGTGTAAAAATGATGTTATGCAATATGTCACATGACATATTGCATCACATGAAATAAAAAATGTTTTTTAATTATGCTTCTATTTTTTGATTAATTAATTAAATTTATTTATTTATCATATTTCAAGTTAAATACTATTAGATTGTTAAATACAATTAAATAGTTAAATACAATTAAATAGTTAAATACAATTAAATAAAAATTAATTACAATTAAGTATAATATAATTAATATAATAATTTAATTTGGTAATTATAATTATTACTCATAATAATTATTCAGTATTATTTTTTAACAAAAAAGTATTTGTTTTTATTTTTAATAAAATTATATTTTGATTTATTAGGTATAAATTCTAAATATATTTTCAATGATAAATTATTTAAACATTCTCGTTGATAAATATACTCATTATTATCCGAGTTTATAATAATCAACTGTAACCCTAGATTACCTTTTATATTTACAGTTAATAGATAGTCTTGCATTATATCCCAATTGTGTGACCCTAATTGTTCACTATAATTGACCCAAGCTAAGCGACATAACTTTTGTGTACCACGAGTTTGAGTTTTTGGACTATATCCCTTTGCAGCAATAATTTTAAACCAATGAAGATTATTGGATAGTTTTTGTTTATCAAAGCCATAATAATGCCAGACGCTTCCTATCCAAATAGCATGATATCCAGATGAATAAGATTTGCAATTAATTGTGATAACA